CAGTGTCACAATTTGCAGAGATTGTGGGTATGTTCTAGCTTGCTTTTACTATTGTACTTGTCTCGTGTTCTCGATATTGAAACCATAAACAACTTTTTTTCCGGAGAAAAGAGAGAACATTCTAATAACTCATGTCAATTCTGGTGACGGGAAGGGACAAACAGTTATATGAAAGACATCTATCAATCTGAATTAAATGCTAAAGATTTTTTGATCGGTTCTTTTCATGTGGTTTTGAAGTCTTTCCTGTCAAAGTGGTTCTTTAATTTTTCTTGCTACATGTTTGGTATATCATTGCTAGTGTTTAAAACACTTCAATTTGAATGAATGTGATCGCAGGTACTAGACTACATTGAAGATACTGGTCTTCAGATGCTTGCCGCTTCCTGTAAGGACCTTCAAGAACTTAGGGTGTTTCCTTCTGATCCCTTTGCTCCAGAACCAGATGCTTTACTTACAGAGCAAGGCCTTGTAGCTGTCTCAGATGGCTGCCCTAAGCTCCAGTCGGTTTTATACTTCTGCCGCCAAATGACAAATGCCGCTTTGGTTACTATTGCTAGAAACCGTCCTAACATGACTCGTTTCCGCTTGTGTATTATTGAACCTCGAACTCCTGATTACTTGACTCTTGAACCGCTTGATACTGGTTTTGGGGCAATTGTGGAAGAATGCAAAGAGTTGCAACGGCTTTCTCTTTCTGGCCTCCTTACTGACCGTGTGTTTGAGTACATTGGAACCCATGCTAAAAAGTTAGAGATGCTTTCCATTGCTTTTGCTGGGGATAGTGATCTGGGCCTCCACCATGTGCTATCTGGTTGCGAGAGCCTCAGAAAACTAGAGATCAGAGACTGCCCCTTTGGCGACGATGCTCTTTTGTCTAATGCTGCAAAGCTGGAGAGTATGCGATCCCTTTGGATGTCTTCTTGTTCGGTAAGTTTTGGAGCCTGTAAGCTGCTAGGTCAGAAGCTGCCTAGGCTTAATGTTGAAGTTATAGATGAGAGGGGTCCCCCGGATACACGGCCAGATAGCTGCCCTGTTGATAAACTTTACATTTACCGAACAGTGGCTGGACCAAGGCTTGACATGCCTGATTATGTTTGGACAATGAATGAGGATGCTGCACTGAGGATTACTGAGCCATAAAGCAAAGGGAATTTCACATTAGCTTCTTCAACGGGAGATTGCAGGTATTGCATTTATGTTCTTTATCCTCCCTTATTTGTTTAATCGGGAGTTATGTAGTCGCACTGGTGGTTGAACTGTGACACGGCAGCCAAAATGTGTTTGGTTCAGGAGCTCACATGCTATTCACTTTTGCCTCTTGGCTGAGCTAATTTATAGCATCTACTTATAAGGAGTTTTAAACTCTTTACATGTTGCTGTGTCTCATTGCAAGTAAGAATTATAGTATTCTTTTGAGGGGAAGGGTAGCATGTTCACTGTGTACCTGCTATTTGCAGACTTTTGCATTGTTATTCAGCAATCAGCTATTTTCATTCTCTTTCTTGGTAACTTGTTCTTCTAATGAGATGGTGCCATCATGTAATACTAGTTAAACTAGCCAACGGACTATTTAGTTTCCATGTATAAAATGTCTTTTAGAGAATAAACTTTGTTGAGCCATAAATTCGAGAACATTTCAAGCCTCCCATCCTATTTCAATGGAACATGATGCGGATAGGAATTCCAACTGGTTGGTTAGTTTTTGTTCATCTATAACTCTGGTGTTCATGTTCCAGTAGTTTGTATTACATAGAACTTTTGATTTATAGCTCTGAAATTTGCAACTGGTTTGTTTTGTTTATAGGAGCATTAGCTTTTATGGATATGGAACAAAAAATACTATGATATGCACCAAGTGTAGCATCTGAAAGATTCCAACTTGGGGGGATAGATAAGGAGATTATTGTGGGTATGTTCACTTTTTCAGCATCAAGCTCGGCTTCTTACAAACGCCTGATGACTGGTGAAAACGATGATATTGGGGAAAAAAATGGATCCAATTGCCTAGGCCTCCTCCCTATAGTTGTACCACAGGTGCAAGGTAGATTCCAAAATTTTAAGTCAGGGTATTATTGTGGTCACTAATTTCTTTTTGTAATAATGGTTGTACCACTGTGAGCGAGGGGTACTCAAGATTTTATAGGATAGTTCTATGTTTATTGTTACTTTTTTGACAATAAGTATTAGTGAGTAACACTGCACTTACTAATGGAGATGCACATCCAATCTTGCAGTAGCCACATCCCACATATATAAAGGAGAAGAAAAGAAACTATAAAATAGTGGGAATATTGGCATTTTCTCATGTGATGTAAACGAGAAAAATGGACCAAATAATGACAGGACAAATAGACAGACAACAACATAACAAAGTGGGTCGAGTAGGTACACTGTGGACACTTTTTATTACCACTTACCCGTCAATGCTATGGCTGTCCAACGGGACGATATTTAGCCGGGACAAAATGGGACGGGACAAACGGGACGAAACGGTAGGTCCATCCTGTCCCGTTAACAAACGGGGCGAGACGGACGGTAGGCCCATCCCGTCCCGCTAACAAATGGGACGGGACAGGACGAGACGGGTTCGCGGGCCTTAAGTGCCGTTTTAAAAAAAAAATTATTTAAGCATTGAGTTTGGCAACGGCTATTCTTTTGACAGTGACTAAGTTTTTAAAATTTGCAACAGTTAGTGTTTTGACTTATTTAATAAACTTAAAAATTAAACGGAAATTAGGAAACTAAGTAAAGAATTATAAAATATTAAAACAAAAGACTTGTAATGAAATATTCTAGTAATTATAAATTTATAATAGAGTTATAATTTATTTATTATAATTTCAAGCCATTAAGTAACTAAGTAAGAGTGTAAGACAATTCATAAAAAAATTCAATGCTTAGAGCCTTTTATTTTATTAATAGAACTTTTAAATCTCACATACAAATATAATTCTTTTGAAGAGCACCTAATCTACGCTGCCACCTTCTAGGAAGGGTTCTGTTTAAACTAGGCCTCTTAGTAGCCAATTACAAATTATCATACTATTATTTGTAAGCTCCTATATAATTTCGTTGTAACTTATCTATAAGTTCTCTCGGACATTGTTCTGGAATTGGCAATGTTGATTGATGTTCCATGAGTTCCATGCCGTCATAGCTCCCATTGCTAAGTATCTCATTGTATTCTCCTTCTTTCCTAGTTTCACCACCTGTTGTTTTCATAGATTTATATTTATCAAACATTGATCTAACATAAGAATATATGTTAGCTTGGCAGTCTTCGAGAGATGGTTGTTCATTTTCTTGAATTGCTAAATTCTCATAAATTTTACGAACAAGTCCATTTGTACCTCTTAATTTTAAAGATGGGTTAAGTATAGTAGAAATTAAATAAACTTGGGGAATAGGGAAAAAATACTTTTTAAATTTTGCAATCATTTCATTAATGGCCGGGGCATAAGTTGGATTAATTTTGCAATCATTTCATTAAGCTAGTTGCTGCAGTTGTGTTAGCACTTAGCAGAAGTATTATCTAAGGTGATAGTTAAAATTTTATTAATGAGTCCATAAAAATCAACAATTTGTAGAACAATAGTTGCAATATATGCTCCAGTGTGTTTTGAATCAACAAATTTATAACCAATAATACGTTTTTGCGTGTTCCAGTGATGATTAATCCAATGGCATGTAACAGTTCAATAATCACAACCATTAGGACTACGACCTATATCACATGTGATAGACACTTTACAATCTAAGTGAAAAAATATAGAACGAATATACTGAAGATGTTCGGTTTGAAATTTAAAAATATCATTTTTAACCGTGGTCTTAGGAAAACTTTGAAAAGTAGGATTATAAGTTTCTTGTATATAATGCACAAAGAAAAATAGGATGCGGGACAAGCGGGACGGGACAGGACGAAATGGTCATCCCGTGTCCCGTTTAACATGGGCCCATCCCATTTAGAATTAAGTGGGACGTCCCGCCCGTCCCGTTGGACAGCCTTAGTCAATACTACCTATGCATCTGATTTTATTTCACACATCAAATTATACTGCAGACAGTGCTTGCATCGCTCAGACATTACTCGTTAGTCCTTGGGGGTTGATATCGTTAGTAGGAAAAGCTATTGAAAAAGAATCTATCAATACATGTGTTTATGTCAAATCACATTAATCACATTACTATACTATAATAAAGCAATACATTGTGGTGAAAATACACATTTATTAACCATAATTGGTAGTAATACAAAAAATAATCATACTACCGTGATTTGATGTAATAATATTTTCCAATTGTATGTAAAGTGTTAAATGCAAGCAGTAATTATTGACCAAGAGAATGTACGAGTAAAATTATGCTACAACTGAGCTCGGATTACACCCAATTTTCCAGGCAACGCTGGATAACTATGAACCTGTAATGGTTATATCGTTTGTCACAAGTTGCTGCATAGGCTGCAGTTAATTTACAGTCCATCCACTTACTGTTGGTATCTGTTTTGCAACCCAGGACAGCATTTCCAGCTGAAGACGTTACATTGACCAGATCATGTTTAGTGACATAAATTGAAGGAGATCATACACGCGTAATATTTTTCTTTTCTTTGATACCAAAACTTAAACAAAAACTTTTACATTCATAACCAGCTGCCCTGCTCACAAAACTACTGAATTTTGCTACATTGCGTACTTCCATAGCACTGCTTACATAATAATTCATCACAGCTACTTTTACATCCTCCAGTGTGTCATATGTATATAAAATATCCAGAAAACCCAACATAAGTTCATAAGAATAATGCTACAACCTAACCTCTGTTTTCTCCAAAAATCTCCTTTTGGGTGGGTTTGGGTTGGGGGGAGGGTTGAGGGGTAGCCTAACCTTTTGATCCTTGAAGTGTTTCCAGAATATGTTCTATTCTGTACTTCATGACAGGTTGGCCAGACTTAGTTTTCTTGAACATTTTCTCCCTTAGCCTTTTCCTTCGAGATTCAGCTCTCTGTCTTTCTTCTTTTTTTGCTAGAATAGTGGCCTCTCTCTCCGTCCTTGCCTTCTCTTCCTCCTCCCGTTTCCTCTCATATAGTTCTCTCAGGCTTCGAGCACTATATTTCTGGTTCTTCTTATTTTTGCTATCCACCTTATCAGTTTTTTCAATCTCTTCAGCATCCTGATATAGCAATTGGAATTAGAATAAACACCAACCTCTCATTCCTAGTTCCAATTACTCAATAATGAAGCATGAAAGTAGAGGACAATAACACAACCCAGAGATGTCATAGATCAAAGCATGTTCATACTATATATCAGCTAAGTTGAGCATTTCCCAAATGATTAAGTTCCATAATTACACTACATTCTAAGCCATTTTGAAATGAACTTTAGGTTGTCCACATAAAGCGCATGTCTTCATGCTTTAACCAAATTGAATTAGACTTTGCACAATGTAGAATGAAACAAAAGGAACAAACAAGAAATGGATAATAACAAACCTCTAGTTGTCTTGCACCCTCAGAAGGCTCTCCTTGTTGCTTAACTATCCTCTTATATTTACTCACATATTTGGCGTTCTTATAGAACTCCCTTTGCTTCTCTGCGCAAAATAACAGCGTACAATACATAAGGAATAGTTACACGACAATGGCAGACACATGAGCTTAACAAGGGAACTTCAAGAGGATAAGCATACTGATCAACATTGTGGGCAAACATCCATATATAAGAGTAAAATCTGACATTTATCTCAACTAAAGTAAGAAACTCAGTAACTCCCCTCAGCAGGATAAAAACAAAAACAATTGGGAAATCAGTTAAAAATTCCTCTTGTGCTTTCTATTGTCTACTGCCTATTGAAATTGCATGACACAACACCTCATTAAGCACAAGCAGGAGTATCTATAATCATTAGTGTTGTTCTTAAGCCCTAAAGCGAGGCTCAAAATATGTTGAGCGCTTCGCCTCGCTTTGTGGGCGCTTAAGTGTTGCATCAAGGGTCTAAGCCATACTTTTACTTGCCGCCAATGAGTGTAATCCTAAAAATGCGACACTAAATAATTGATATTTCACTTCATAAATTTTTTTTGTTGATATTTCACGTTTTTCAATTTCTTTGTCCATATATTTGTTATTCATGCTTATAATTATTAGTCTTAGACTACGTATTTTTACTCTTTCTCTAGTTGCACCTTTTTTCTTTAAAGCCCACGATTTATACGGCCCTTGGACCATTTTTCAGGCCTTAAGAATAAGTTATATAGCATTCAAAGCTAATAATTAGTACCAAAAAAAGGCTAAATTGAGATAAAGCAAAAATTGAGGTTCTTTTTTGGAGAGAAATTTACTTATGATGGCAGGGTTGTAATTATTGCTCTTGGTTTTGGCATTGGCAAATGCTTCCAGTGATAAGCCTCCTCTTCCTCCTAATCTTTGCATATTCTTCTTCACATTCTTCTTCGAATTTGAGCCTTTGCTTTTCTTATTTGTGTCCATCTCACGCGCATCTTTTGCGTCTGCAATTTTCTTCATAACGCTAGAGAGAGAAAGCTCGCCTACTTAAAATTGGTGCTGAATAAACTTCAATCTGAAACCCTAGATTGCAGAGAATGAAGACGAGGGTGATGAATCTCCTACAGAAGGTTTAAGATGGGCTCATCAATTGACCTGCTAATCCAATACGAACCCTTCTAAAATGGAGGCTCACTACTACACTACCTAGTGGGCCAGCCCAAAATATTTGCAGAAATGACACCAAGTAGCCACTCTACAGGGCTACTATTTAGGAATTAGTCAATGTGTCCTGAATTTTAGTTTTCTAGTTTAATTTCAGGACATTTGTGTTATGAATTGTCTTGAAATTAATATTTTTAGTTTAAATTTTTAGGACAAAATAAGTACTGACTAATCTCTTAATAGCAACCCTAAGAATAGTTGTTTGTGTACTTTCCCCAAATATTTTTACCAAGTACAAAAAGACTCGAGGATTTGCACAAATAGGATACTTTTGTGTTGATATTTATGTTCTGTCCCTACTAGTGAGAAATTGACATTTTTAAGTTTAATGAAAAATTGTGCTAGATATAGTTATTTTACCAATTTAAAGAGGTTGGGTAATAAGTGAATTATCTTTATTTTTTTTAAACATAGGAGCAAGAAAAGTCTAACTAGACAAGAGTTCAAACTCATGATGTTGTGGTTCAAATTAGAATTTTTGCCAAGTTTAGCAAACTTCTTTTAAGTTGCATACTATCATAAGTAGTCCCAAAAGTTTGAGATTTCCAATTATACGTAATTGACGAATTTACAAAAACAGAATCTTCATTGCAAGTTTAATAAGTAAGTTACTTGTTAACGTATATGGTAAAAATTTACTCAGCAATGAATGCAAGACATGCGTCTTTCATCCACATATATCACTTAATTAACCATGATTATGTAATATATATTCCCACTTTAATTTTTGATTGATATGGTTCAATTGTTTGGTCCCATTACGCAAATGCGATACGAATTTTAAATTCAGTTAATGTAGTACAGACAAACGCAAGCAAGAGCCATACATTCACCAATTAGTCCCTTTGTAGTGTGTCACCAAACTTACAAGAGCCCGGAGGTAACCATTTGTGTATAGAGTTGGAGCCAAGGTTTCATTTCAGTGGATGTAACAATTACATTCATTGTTCTTTTTGTGGTAATCGATGCAAACTCAGCATATATATGTTATTTAACTATACTTGTTCTGCTTTGTGATACTTTCTGAAGATTTTCACTAAGCAACAGGATAAGCTTTATCGGATGATTATTGCCCATATTCTTTACAGTTAAACGGCCGATCACTAGAAGAAATGAATCAAAATGAAAAAAGGAAAAAACAAGTAGAGGCAGTTGCCTGTTCCATGTAAAAATACACCACTTAGATCAAGCTGAGCATATAATGTCCATTGCCCATGTCATTGGGGATCTTCGCCAGTACCAATCATGCGGGTGTTGTATGAATTACAATGCTTGCATTTGTGGCCAAGAATGTGAAAAAATGCTCTGCCAGTACTATTGCAGTCATTGCAGAGAATTGGAACCTGCAAAGTCAAAGCTCAACCTCTATTATCCAGCTTTTTCCGCATCACAATAAAACATTACCTTCTGGAAAAGAAATTTTTTACCTTCAAAACATCTCAACAAAAGATTTTCTTCTAAAAAAGAAAAATCGAGATAAAACAGTTAAAGACGTGGCCGGATCTGTAAGATAAACATGCATTGCCTTCAGGGACAAATATCTAAGTTCACTCTCAAACTATACCCCACACCTCACCCATTTCTTTCCAATATTCACCGGCAAAGCTCCATGCCAAAACCATCATAACCCCTCCATTTTTGCTAGGTACAAAATAAAGCAGAAGAGAGAAGAAATTTTGCTAAAAGAGGTTCCTATGACTCCAACTCAAGAGCCTGTTGCAATTAAGTTTCTTGCGACTTGTCCCCTCCCCCCCCCCAAAAAAAAAAAGAAGCCTTATGCGCAATTTGCTTTTAAATCTATATGAAAGGAAACACATGAATCCAAAATGAACAGCAACATTTAAATGTAAAGAGAGTACCAAAACAACATTTTACCGACAGGAAAGAGCCGCTTACCTCGTAACGATATTCTTCAGGCATGGCTGTTGCCTCAATCTATACAAAAGAAACTTGATCATCAGTAAACAGTCATAATGTCATAATGTGCTATGGTTTATATCATGCACTAAAGTATTCTGCAATACTTAGACGACAAACATAAGAAGATTATATTGACTAGAAATATTTGCATATGAATAAACATGTCTGCTGTCTGTCCTAACAAAATAAAAAAACATAAAATCAACTAATCATCCAGCTCCAGGAAATGCACTCCTATACGACCTAACAGTGCATGTCTAATGGTGGTAACCACAATTAAGCTGGAGAGAGGAATTACAAAGAATTTAAGTATCCTCTAAAACACAGGAATCCCAAGGACCGAGAAAGCATGATGGACCGCCAGGGAACTGTTTGCCTCAAATCATTGTTAAGTGACTACATTCACAAAGTCTAATCTTCAATTGTTTTATCACCAATCAACAGATCAAAAGTAAAGGTACACCAGAAAGTACCCAAGGGTGTGGTCAATGAAGTAGGAGAACCATGAGATCTCAGGTCCAAATCCCAGCAGAGTCAAGAAAATACTAGGAGACGCTTCCCAAATCCCAACTGCCATAGCCTTGGTGGGTAGAGTTACCCGGTATCTATGCGGATCGTAGTACATCAGGTACATTGTAGAATGTTTTTATTTTTTTGGACAGAGAAACGAAGGAAACGAAGGAGGAATGCAACACGAGGACTTCCCAGGGGGTAACCAGGTACCGATGGAATAGTTAATGTGACACAAGCTAACCTGGACACCACCGTCTCACGCACACACATATAAAAAAATAAAAAATAAAAAAAAATAAAGTGGGATAATATCATCCAAAGTACAAAGTATTTATCACAAATACCCCACTTGATTTCACCTCCCTTCATATACTTTCTTCTACGTTGAAATATCTGAGGTACTTCTAGGCTTTAATGATAGGGAATCAAAATATTTATCACGGATGGTATACCTCCCTTCCTATTTGTGCTTCCTTATTGAAATATCTAAGGTACTTCTAGACTTTAATCACTGCGAACCATAGCATCAAAGCTAGAAGTCACATCTCCCACTACTCCTAAGTAAGAAAAGTAAAAACTACGGAATAAAAAGGGCATCTGTCAAAAGCCCTATTCTCAATTCAACACGGCCAAGAGTTTTATGTCCAATTACTGGAGGGTTTAGAAACCCTGCAAGTTGCAAAAGCTTTCTGGAATAACAATTTAGCACATATCCAACAGTAAGATAATTTTGGTGATTGCTGCACCAGGCTTACATCCCAACCAGTTTTCAACAGCCATCGACAGATTGGCACAATTTACTAAATCAACATGAAATCTTCTAAGGAATTTCCAGAATTTAATCCCTAATATCAATGTACCAAGACCATTTTCCCTCTAGTATATCCTATCTATCTATATAACTATACTTTTATGTTCTCATATCATGCCATTTCACATAATGGTAACTTCTAATATATGTCTAACTCGAAGCAGACATGAAGCCAAGGTCTTCTTCTCCGTTTTCCCCGCATTCTTCTTAATAGTCCTTCTGAAATTCTGCAAGTGCACTGCAGAGTATTTCGTTTAGAATCAGTTACATCTATCCCTAGTCACATTTCATCTAAACTTAGTCCTACGAACTTCCGAGTTAATATCTTATTTTAACATCAAATCTAAGAAGGGGAGCCTTGGCATAACTGGTAAAATTGTCGTCATGTGACCAGGAGGTCACGGGTTTAAGCCGTGGAAACAACCTCTTGTAGAAATGCAGGGTAAGGCTGCGTACAATACACCCTTGTGGTCCGGCCCTTCCCCCGATCCTACATATATCAGGAGCTTAATGCACCGGGCTGCCCTTTTTTTTTAACATCAAATCTAACTAATTACTAACATTAGATCTCCAGACCAATACCTAATGCTTGATCACTAGTTGCGCATTTGTTAGCATACTTACTGTGCTATGTCAACAGGTTTCAAGGGTGATCCCAAAAGTCTTACAACAAAATGCACGTTATTGCCAAATGAAATCGGACTCCACAAACTATAATTCAATATCAGATATACCATCAAAGACCCATTGTAACATAGACAACCATAAGAAATAACTTCTAAAATATAAACTTGATACAACTTAATTTTCTACAGAGGAAGAATCAAAAGTCAAACCAAGTTTTAAATGATTTGTCTTCCACTGTCGCAGAATATGAATTAGCTATCAAAAGATTTTGGAGGACTAAAATTCTAAAAAAGTAATACACCTATTTCAGAAGCAAAAGCACAAAACAAAGTTATAATGTGACGGGACAAAAGATTTTTCCTTGGATATGCTTGTGCCACTTTCTCCACTTCCCAATCAGTTCAGAAGAACAACGAGAGAATCTCATAATTGATGCTCATCTGGTGGCTTTCCCTGAGATGTAATGCAATCTACAAAGGACTTGTTGAATAAAGGGAGGCAAAAAAAAAGTTTCATTTCATTTACAAGGAAGAAAGAGGAAAGTAAGAAGCCAAATGAAGAAAAGGAAGTGTAACTATGTTTCTCTAATCTTATTTCCTTAAAATAAAGGTTTGAGCTTCAACTTAATTTTGAGACAAAACCCAATAAGGCAAAACACTGTTAGACCAAATCAACTTCAGTCGAGAAAAATGTTAGGGAGAAAAAGGACTGACTTAGATTTCTCTGTCTTTCAACCTTTTGTCAGTTTAAACTATATCAGCACTTGTGTTTCTTCTTTTGGGTGGGGAGGGGATGGCGTGGAGCCTGTGCATATATACCCATTCCTTTTCGTGGATGTATGAATAGTAGATATTCCTTGTAACAATTTACAAAATAAGATTTATGGATGAGCTTTGCACAGACAATAACTGAAAATTAAACAACATTATACCTCCAGATCTAATCTTTCCCAAGTTCCGGACATGTTGAGCACTGACTTAGAGCATATAGGGCAGCGATACCTATACAGAAAGGAAAGATGATTCCACTATGCATTTTATCCCAAAACCAGCGCAGGCTGACTGGTTTGCAGAAACAGAAGCAAAATAATTGTGTTATGCATAAACTTTACTGGTTCTGATGGATCATCTCAGTGTAGCATTCCATATGCATCGTATGTCCACACTTCATAATTGTGGTGCCTTTGACTGAGTCAAAAAGAAACTGGACCAGCCCAAAAGTTCAGTATTAGGGTATTGATCCAAACAAACCCATATGGCAAGTTAAGGCAGTGAAAGCCAAATGAAGTGCGGACTCAAACCTCATAACAGATGGGACAATGGTTCTTCATTGAGTTCTCCACGCATAAGTGATTATCACACAGATCCACTGAATAGCATGATCCTGTTGCAGAAACAATATCACGAGAATTGCTAAAAAGGAAGTATACCTGATTTAGAGCATCAGATAAATAAAGGAACAAAATTTTGTGAATAGGATTCAACATTCGTTCATTTCAATGTCTTCAATTCCAGCATATATGCAGACATATGTATGAAGTCTTACCAACATAAGTTTGTCAAAACTTCATGCATGTAACTTGGGAAACATCAAGTGAAAGCCAAGGGGGATGGTTTACTACAAACCAAAGAACACTTATTAGGTGACCTCACTACAGGAGTAAGTTGGCGTTCAGGTTTTTGCCTTTATTATGACCAAGGTTTATTAATCGCTCAACTTTTCACAGACTTACAACCAAAATTCGTACTTTGTCAACATCTGACATGAAACATGTGTCTTCCCACCTCAGAAGGTTTACAGGACATCCTGACGTGAAACCGTTTTACTTGAACATGCTTAATTTACATAAATGTGTTTTGTCCTCTATCCTTTCACAAAGACATGCCTAACCAGAACATTCCACAAAAATAATTATAAAGATTGGGAAGTCAAAAGAAACTTGAGAACTTGACCTCCAATCATTAACAATCTCCTCTAGACATGGACCAACCAATGAATCAAGAGAGAGGGAGAGGGAGAGGATTCAGCCGTATAATATGACAAGTTTCCTCAGATGCCTAATCTTATTCTGTTAGGCTGAGCAGCTATAGTTGTTTGACTTCCATTTCTTATTGGCTAGGAGTTGGTTTACTTCAGTGATACAGAAGTGCATAGAGTAAATAGTCAGCTTTGAGATGGTAGATGTAAACGGCAGTAAAATAAGAAGTATACAAGATCAACCTTCCTGTTCAGAGGATAACCCTTTACTACAATATAAGATATGCTATTCAAGGATTTAACAGAAAGGGCTTCGAGAAGCAGAATTCAAAAAGGAACTGTTAGAAAGAGATAATCTCCACCATTAATAATTTAAAGGAAAAATATCCATCCATGTTAGTGCAAGGAAGTCAATAATAGCAGCCAAACAACTAAGGCGAAGATGGCGTACCACATTTCCTGCAGTGGAAGAAGTTTTCTCGACCACCCACCCTGTATATAATCAATAGTCTATAAGCATCACACATGATAGATATATTTTGTTTAGATAGAACGAGTAAGAGAAGTGTTAGGGCAGAATGGAGGTTGAATACAATATTATCTAGTTTATCACCTGCAAATTCCACAGTCATCACAGTGAAATTGCCCCTTCGTTGTCTACAAGAAAAGAAAACTACTTATGATATAAATGCATCAAATGAATTAAATATTAACAGACCAATCCAATTTTCAGAGACAATTAAAAATAGTAGCATTACATCGTCATCGTAAAATCTACAGATTTCACAGTAGTACTCCCCAAATTTGATGTCACACTTTGAACAGATCCCAGCAACCTATTCAGCAGAAGCAAGCAAAAAGTTATCCCCCACCAAAGTGGCCGAAATGTCCATTACTCGAGACACTCAAAGGATAGACAAGTGTAGCAACAGAGCTTAGCAAAACCTGTTGTTCAGTGTCGCATACAGCACAAACAACCTGTAACCCAAAAAAAATGAATCCAACTCAGTCCCTGTAAAAATGGAAAACCCAGAAAGCGTCATGAACTAAAACCTTCTCTCTAAAGAAATCAATAAATGAGCTAGACTCATACTTGTTTAACATCGTGGCGCACAAGTTCGTGACGTTCCTTGGGGTTGCTCAAAGCGCTCTGATCCCAACAAACACAAAACTTTAGTAAAATCCACTACACAGTATATAAAGCGATCAGCAAGGGGTGACAGGGGAAGGTAAGGTTGATGTTGTACAGTTTGTAACATGTAAGTATCAATTAATGAGGCACCAGACCATTAAAGAAAGCACCTCATTATTAAGGAGACTGAGTTACAAAGTTAGAAAGTAATTTGGATTTTGAGCTCAAAAGAGAATACATGAGTTTTTTAGTGATTGTCCCCCATTTCCTAATAAAAATACTTGTCCACACATGTGATAAATGGAAATTGAGTTTATAGATATCATGGATGGATTTGGACCTGCGACTCAATTCAATTTTATTTGGGACAGTTAGTTAGCAGAAGAACATATATTTAAGACTAACTGTTTAGGTTTTTTTTCAGATAAGAAGTTTGTTCCACTTCCAAATAGGAGTAACACAAACCTTGGCATCGTTGTGGCAGTGACGGCAAGTGAAAATTTCATTGCAGCAAGGAGCTCGGAGTTTACATCGTCGCCGATAATGTTCACATCTATTAATTTAATAAAAATAAAATAATAAAATCATTGTACAAATTGGACAGAGACACAAAATGTATCGTAATAATCTATGTACCCGTAAAGCATTTTGCCGAAGTCTTCTCTGGAACTATTGTTATCATCGTGATCGTCTTGTTCAGCCGGAGCCGGCGGCGGCTGATTAACGACAAAATTGTTACCGTCTTCCATGTAGAAGGTTCCAGAAGGACCTTTGGATTATGAGAGTACAGTATAGCTGTGGACCTCCAGGTGAAACCTGTTACGTGTGGGCAATATAGAAGAAAAAAGGTGATAATGTAGAGTATGTATCAAGGGATAAGGTCAAAATTAGGGGTGAAATTCAAAAATAAGTCCTATTTACCTGGGGTAATTGAAAAAAGCCTGAAAAGTAATTAAAATTTAATCACTATTTATGTAAATATAAATTTGAAAAAAAATACTTTTTAAAATTCGAAAAATATTTCGGTATAATACATTGGAGTTCGAATTCTTTACATGTTAACTTACAGCATAATATACCGGAGTTCAAGCATAATATATTGATCTAACATAATATATTGGAAGTCCATACACAAGTGCGTTAATCTTCAATATATTATGCTAGAATTTTTCGTGTTACAGCAAAATAGTGGTTATTTTTTAATGACTTTGCAAACGCTAATTATTTTTCAATTATCAATCCAAAAACTGGCTAACCCGTGCTATTTTTACCGAAATTAGTTCATAAAAACGCGAGCGAAAAGGACTGCAACGAACAGTGGACCAAGTAATGAATCCACTACCAAGACATGGCGGCTGATATTCATAGCCCGTGGGCCTATTAAAATGAAACTTTATTTCTCCGTGTCCCAATTTGTTTGATACAGTAAAAAAATTCAATTTTAGCCGTGATTTTGGACATAATTTTTTAATTGTTCAAATATATTACATATATACTAGTTTTAGCGTAGGCGCATTGCGCGTGTACATCATCACATAAATATTATATTAAAAATTATATTCAAATTATAAAATATTAAGTATAAATGATAACATTGATCCTAAATAAGTAACTCAAGGAAGGAAGAAACTTCGTCATATAGAAGTCCTAAATCATTATTCAATTTAGTCAGCTTAAACTTTGTGTCAGTTTTATAACTTTATTGCTTCAGTTTCGCAAGTTATCAAAGTATTTCCTTGTAGTTTAGCAAATACAGATAGTCCTCGAATATTTAAGAATTTTTGTGCAAATATTTTTGGAAAGTTGTACTCAAGTTCATTCGAGAAGACAAACATAATTAACTATACTTTTGTTATGATGTACGGTTGAGTTATGGGAAGTGGTCTAATTAAACGACACATGATAAGTGTAAAGATAAAAAACGCGAATGTGGAATGTAAATATCGGATGTGAGAACCGTTAGTGAATAATGGCACAAATGAGCCAAATAGTGTAATGCCAATGGCATGAATACATCCCATTTTTAACTTGTGGTATAGATATGCCATTTCTTAAAGTTTGATAGTATATTTGAGCCTTTTTTCCGTAATTCTAAATTGAAAATTGAATCTTTTGATCTTTTAAAGATTTGTGAATAAGAGGTGGTCCTATAGCTCATAAAAGAAAATTGATAAAATAAAAATGTGAAGCCTAAAATGTTGATTTAATATTTTACAACAAGCTGTTATTTGTTAGGATGAATGCAAAAAATAAAAAATAATTAATAACAACTCATTGGATATATTTTATCTCTAATATTTCATCATTGTTACGTCAAGTTAGCACTTTTATCAATCTAAGTCTTAATACTATATTAAGAATTTTTTCAACTGAAAAAATAATTCTTTTTGTATGATGAATTTAGAAAAGAATTGAGTAAGTTTTTTTGTCTAATAAGTTGTTTCAAAAACTTAATAATTTTTTACTAAGGAAAATAATTTATATTTTGTTATTCAAATCTTAATAAAAACTCCTCCCCAATTTTAAATATTTAAATGTAATAATAATTTTATCTACTAAGAGTTATATTGCCAAAGGATACAAATAAAAATCTTTCTCACATTTTACTTTTAAATCTTTGTTTTATAGAATTATTTGTGTTATTGACTTTTATCAACCATGCCTTTTCTCTCTCTTTTATTAAATTTTTAAATTTTTTCTTATTTATTTACTATTATTATTATTGAGTGTAATTTTCAAATATCATACAAAAAATAGATGAACAAAAAAATTATTTAAGTAGGAGACTAAAAGTTATAAATGAACAAACGACATATTTGGTCTAGACTCCTATTTCCAACTATTTAAATAGATGACTCTATAATCTGTACTCAGAATTAATTATTTTGTTTCACCTAAATAAAATTTATTTATTTACTAAAATTGTGATGTTATTAAAATTAAAGAAGACAAGCTGAAAGTTATAAACATGATGTTTATTAGTTTTGAACTTAACCTGAGTCAATATAAAACATCAAATAAATGTAGACAGAAGAAACTATTAGAAGTTTCTAAATATTATAAGTTCATATATAAATATTAGAAGTTCTTATATAATTTAAATAAGGAAAGATTTAGTAATCTAAATTTTAGAATTTTAAAGTGTTAAATATTTGGAAAATAATAAATGACAATTTCTAAATATTAAAAAAATAATCAAATTAGTATTTTATCCAGTANTATATATATAAGCACTATAAATCAAGATAGCTTATAATTTAAATTATTTAAAAGGTATATAAAAGTTTTATGACTAGAAAAGATCGTCTATTTTTATAAATCTGAATTGTTTATCAAATAATTTTGGACTAAAGTAATACAGCGTGTGAGAGCAAAATTTAGCCAAAGATAATAGTCACATGGCCGTTTCTTTATTTTCTTTTATTTGTTCTTTTAAAAATTCATAAAAAACTCGTGAAGTTCGAATTGTAACTTGTAAGTCGAAGTTCTATAATGTCTTAACAAGAAGTAGTTTTGTTTAAATTTTATTTTTGCATTAAGAAACGACTAAACGTTATATAATATTAAAATAATAATTAAATATCAATTAGCAGTCCGAAAAATATGACTATTTATCCATTTCGTCGTAGAAAGTCGCATGATTTATTATGTTTTGTGCACACTGACCTTTAAATAAAGTCAGGTGCATGAATGACTTTACTTAATTAGGATGTTAAAGAAGACGATTAAAAAATGGACAAGGCCTGATATAGCTTATGTTGTATGTAGACTGAATAGATATACTCATAATCCCAACAGAGATATCCTATATAGTGGATTTCCTTCTAGTTTAGAAGGGTACAGTGATGCAAACTGGATGTCTGATTCAAATGAAACAAAATCCACTAGTGGTTATGTATTCACCCTTGGTGGTGGTGCAATATCGTGGAAATCAGCTAAACAGACGATCATTGCTAGATCGACTATGGATTCAGAGTTTGTAGCCCTGGAGATAGCTGGTTATGAGGCTGAGTGGCTAAGAAACTTCTTAGCTAATATCCCTTTAATAAAGGACGTATTGCCTCCTGTGTCTATGCATTATGATTGTCAAGCAACAATAGCTATTGCAAAAAATAAATCTTATAATTATAAAAGTAGATACATGAAATTGAGACATGATGTCATAAAACAACTGTTGAGAGATGGAACAATTTCCATTGACTATGTGAAGTTAGAGATAAATTTGGTCGATCCTCTGACTAAACCTGTGGGAAGAAAATTAATTCTTCAAACCTCAAAAGAGATGGGGTTAAGGCCGATATGTTGTCAATAGAGATGGTAACCCAACCTATGTGATTGGAGATCCCATGAAGTAGGTTCATATGGGTAGTAACATGTCGATATTGGCACTGAAGCACTAAAAGAGAGTGCTTGACTGCTACCAATTGAGAGGTTGAGTTATAACTCTTAATGAAATTCATAGTCCGTATGGATGGTGTATTTAAAAGCAGTATACACTTGATGAATTCACCTATATGAGAGTGGAGTGGGCCGCTCCTATGAGATTTTGGCCTAGTCTCTAGAGCTCTCATGAATAACCAGGCACGTGCATGACCTATTGGGCGCAAAATCGCGTTGCACAGCAAAATTTCCGGGGGTCAAAAAGTGATTGATAAAATTTCTGACTTACAATAAGAATTATTGGTTTATAGAAATATTATATTTCACCAGTAATTTTATGAGTTAAATTTTATTGATCTAAGTTTGGTTCATAGTCCAGAAGACACCAAACCTATTACATTTGGACCAAGCAAATCTAGCAAGTTGTTAATTTTTTCCATTCCTTTACCTTCTTCATATAAAATTTTGAAAATATGTGGGGATTGTGACAGTTTTTTCAAAAATTAAGTAGTCATGTGTCTTTTTATTTTACAAGTGTCCTACCTATTTTCAAGTGGCTATGAATATCTACCAGGTGGCCTTTTGCATGAAGATATGAGGCCAAATGGCTAAGCCAAAAACAAGTGGCAATCATCTTTCATGCAATTAAACACTTGACAATTTAAGAAGACCCTAGTATTTCTATATATAGCCTTCTTGTTCATCTGTAAGAAATATCAATAAAAATTGGTCTTTGTTACACTTTTCTTAGCTAATCATTGCTTTCTTCTTTGGCAAATCATTACTATAATTATTATTCCCACTATTGACCAAATTATTATCTGTTGAAATTATTTCTTCCTTCCGGTTTATTCCAAAATTTGCCGGTGTTATTTAATTTTGCTGATTCCTGTATCCTCTAAATAAATAGAGATGGGCTTGTTTAATCTTGGGGAAACATTTCACATTGCTGAAATAGTTTTTTAGGACAGTGACCATCACGACTCAAGCCAATTCGTGTATATGCTTACAAATAATATTATTGCAGTATTATTATCGTTATTTTCCGGTATCATTTCCCTACATGTACACCCCACCCCACTTCAGTCTGCTACTGAGCTGGCTGATTCCAGTACCAGAAATTAGTATTTTGTACTAAAATTGAAAGATCCTGGAGATATCTTGGGATTAATATTCATGATATTGTTTTGCCAAGAAAACCAGGTGTTTAATTAAACTAATTAATTTAATAAAACGAAGGGCTAAACCTAGTTGATGATAATAACTTCAGATCTATAATTGATTGACACAGATAACGCAAGAGCAATATTGAGAGAAGAGTAAACGCAAGAGCAATATTGAGAGAAGAGTAAATGTAGTGTGAGTTCAATGTTTCAAGATACTCAATGATGAGAGAATATTGAGTAATAAATAGCAATAAATGATATCAAAGTAAATAAGGAGAATGATTCACTCAATATTA